CAGGCGTGCACCGATTGACAGACACATCCCAGGCTGTGTGTGTCAGGCCGCTCTACCCCACAAAGGTAAGGTCTTGAGTATGTTCCTAAGTTTCAGGTTTCTTGCTGGATTATCACTGAATCTTCATAATCCGTCATAGATGCCATGCGTTTTTGTTCTCAAAACTGCGGAACTGGATGTGCTGTCAGCATGGCACACATCTGGGAACCAAAAGTTCCAAGTTCAAGGTCTGCCTTTGCTGTTGAAGTGTCAGTTTAACGTGGGTGTTTTATTCTTTCATAATAATGATAGAGTAGCTAATACTTACTGAGCTTGCATTGTGTGCCAGGTCCTATACCCAAACACCTGACATGTACCGACCCATTTTAAACCTTACAGCCCCATGAGGGAGAAACTGTTGTCGTCTTCGTTTTGCAGATGGGGAGACAAAGATATACAGAAGGAAGAATCTTGCTCAAATTCAGTTACTGTGTGGTAAAGTGGTCGGGATTAGAACCTAGGAATTCATTGTTGTTGTTGTTTTAACTTAGGTTTTTTTAGGTATAATTTACATACAGTAAATATCACCCTTTTAGTAGGTGACATTTAGTAAATATACACAACCAAGATACAGATCATTTTCATCACTTTAAAAGTTTCCTCATGCCCTGAATGGCGTGGCTCAGGTGGTTGGACATCCTCCGCAAGGTGAAAGGTCACCGGGTTGATTCCTGGTCAGGGCACACGCCTGGGTTGCAGGTTTGGCCCCCAGTTGGGGTGCGTACGGGAGGCAACCGATCAATGTTTCTCTCACACATCGATGTTTCTCTCCCTCTCCTTCTCTCTCCCTTCTCTCTCTAAAAAGAAAGGGAGGGAGGGAAGGTGGGAGGAAGGAAGACCTCTCATGACCCTTTATGGCCAGTCCTCCCCGCACCCCCGCCCTCAGCCACCACCGACCTGTATTTTGTCTGTGCAGGTCTGTCTTGTGAGACCGTCATGGACGTGAAGCCGTACGTTACTTAACCTTTTGTGTCTGGCTTCTTTCACTTAGAATAATGATTTCAAGATTCACCTGTGTTGCTTCATTAGTTCCTTTTTATTCTGAAAAGCACACCTTTGCACAAATAGCTCACAGTTTGTTCATCCATTTAGAGTTGATAAACATCGATCTGTTTATGGTAGAGGTGCTGTAAAGCTGCGAAAAGCAGAGATGTACAAGTGTTTATGTGAGCATATGTTTTCATTTATGTTGAGTAAATTCGTAGTAGTCCAGGATTTCTGGGTCATATGCTAAGTGAGTGTTAACATTTATAAGACACTGCCAACTGTTTTCCAAAGTGGCTATACCTACTGCTTTGCATTCTGACCAACAAACAGTATATGAGACTTCCAATTGCTTCGCTGCACATTCTCACATGAACTTCTGTATTGTCTGTGTTTTATTTTTTTTAAGATTTTATTTATTTGTAGAGAGAGGGGAGGGAGAAAGAGGGAGAGAAACCTCGAAGTGCAAGAGATACATCAATCACTTGCCTCTCACACGCCCCCAAGTAGAGACCTGGCCTGCAACCCAGGAATGTGCCCCAACTGGGAATTGAACCGGCGACCTTTCAGTTCACAGGGCAGCACCCAATCCACTGAGCCACACCAACCAGGGTTATTGTCTCTTTTCTAAATTTTAGTTATTGTACCAGGTGTGTGGTGATTTTAATTTGCATTTCTAATTACTTATTGTGTCAAACATCTTTTTTTGTTCTTATTTGCCATCTGGTATCATATTCTCTTTTTTGTTTTTTTATAATAGAGGGGAGGGGAGTGAGAAAGAGAGGGAAATATCAATGTGTGGTTGCCTCTGGTGTGCCCCCTACTAGAGGCCTGACCCGGCCTACAGCCCAGGCATGTGCCCTGACTGGGAAGCAAACCAGCAACCCTTTGGTTCTTTGCAGGGTGGTGCTCAATCCACTGAGCTACACTAGCCAGGCGTGGTATCATATTTTTTCAGCCTAAAGAAGTTCCTTTAGCATTTTCTCTAATGCAGGTCTCCTGTCAATGGCCTATCTCAGCTTTTATTTGAGAAAGCCTTCATTGACCTTCATTTTTTAAAAATGTCTTTGCTGGATATTGAATTCTATACTGACAGTTTTTCTTCTTTTAGTACTTCAAGAAATATTTCTTTGTCTCGTGGCTTGCATAGCTTCTAGAGATGTCTGCTCTGTCTCTGTTCCCCTGTATGCAATCCTTTCTCATCTACTGCCTGCTTTCAGCATTTTACCTTTGGTTTTGGTTTCCAACATTTAACTACGATGTATCTAGGTGTGTTTTCTTTGCTGTCTTGTTTATTGTTTTTAATTTATTTGCTTGGAGTTTGCTGAGGTTCTTAGATTACTTTTCATTGACTTTGGAACATTCTTAGCTATTTTCTCTTCAAATCTCTTCTGCCCTGTTCTCTTTTTCTTCTCTTGATGGGACTCCAGTTACATACTGTCAGACCGTCTGACGTAGTTCCACAGGTGTCGGGTGCTCTTGTTCCTTTTTTCACTTCTTTTTCTCTCTGCGTTTCATTTTGGATAATTTCTACTGACCTGTCTTCAAATGTTTTTGTTCTTTGCTCAGCTACGTGTAGTCTGTACATAAGCCTATCAGAGGAATTATTTTGTCTCTGATCATTGTTGTATTTCTAGCATTTACACTTGACTCTTTCTATAGTGTTCGCATCTCTGCTGAGGTTCCCAGTCTGCTCAGGTGTGTCGCCCATCTTTTCCCCTCGGCGCTTCCTGTGTCAGTCTCGCGCCTCCGGGGGCTCTGACATCTGGGTCACTAGTGAGTGAGGCTGGTTCTCTGGATCGTTTCACCTCTCCTTTTCCTGAATTGAGATGTAATTGACATATAACGTTTTTTTTTTAGGTTTACAACATAATGATTTGAGATTATGTATATTATTTTGACCAGATGCTTTATCTCTTAACAATGAGTCTTTTTTCTCCTTTCTGTCTTGCTTACTTCCTTGCTGTTATGCGTGTTGTAATATTTTACTGAATACCGCACACAATATACAGAAGACCAGTAGAGGCTGAGGTGAAGAAACCCTCACACCTGGAAAGGGCAGGCCTGCCCAGTGCGGGGACGGAGCCCTTCTGGCAGCAGTGAGCTGTGCCTGGGCTCTCCCGTTCCTGTCACTGTCCTCAGTGCGTGCCGGGCTCCACAGCCCTTCAGTGGCGAGCTGCTGGTGCCTTGGGCTTATTGTGGAGCCTGGGGTGCCAGTGGGTTTTTTTCCATGTTCCTGTTGTACCCTCAGCGTTGAGCAGCTGCTACAAACCCGTGCCCCCAAGGGCATCTTCCCCTCCCTCAGTGGTGGGCTGCTGCTGCTTGTTCCTTGATGCTGTGCTCTGTGAGGGCGAGGGGTGGGGTGGGGAGTGTCTTGGTTCTCCTGTCCATCCTCGCTCTTAACCAGGATGTGCTACTGGGCTCAGGGGTGGGACCTCTTCAGCATCCCCACACCCCCTCCCTCTCCCTGGCAGCCGAACACTGCCTGGCATCTCTGGTGGCTCTTGGGAAGGAGAGATTTCCTGCCCCTGCTTTCACTGGTGCAGGATCCCAGGGCTCAGGGCAACCAGGGGCTGGTGGCTTTTGCCTCTGCTCTTCCCCGAGAAGCAGAAGATCCTTGCCTGGTTACTTCAGCAGGTAGGGGAGAGTCCTTTACTCCCTCTCCGCAGGGGCAAACAGGTTTCGTTTCTACCCTGGCTCTGGGGGCAAGAGGGCTTGGTGCCCCTTCCCCCGTAGCTTAAGGAAGGCTTCGCTTCCTTTGGGAGGAGGCTCTGGGAAGCAGCAGGGTCTCACACCTGTCCAGCAGCGGCAGGTGTCACACCACCACACCCGGGCCACCAACCCGTGCTGTCCCACCCCAGTCCCTCTGGTGTGCACCAGGTGGAGGCCTGCCTGGAACTGCTTGTGAGTCAGTGCGGACTCCGTTGTGTCGGGGGCTGCTGGTTTTCCTAGACGAGGGGCCAGCCTACTCTCAACCTTTACGGACTTGTTAAAGTTTAGCTGCTTCCTTCTCACCTGCTTTCATGGCGGCTGCCTCTTCCTCTGTGCTCTGTCAAAGATGAAGCACCTTTGTGTGGCCTGGTCTCGTTGAAGGGGCTTCTTACTCTTCAGAATTAAATTCCATTTGTCTTCAGACCTCAGCTTCCTGACAGGTTGGTAAAAGTTTTGAACGTTTCCTCATTTGGATGGAAGCAGAATTCTCTTCCTGCTTTCTACATCCTAAAGGGAAGTGGAACTCCCCCCGAGCTTTTTAAACCCCAGCCCTGCGCTCCCTCCCGAGGACGCTCATTCCGGGGTCTAGTTCACACTTCGCCACAAAAGACACGGTCGGGTGGTCGTGTCCCCTTCCTAGAAGCTGCAGGTCCAAAACGGGAGTCCGGAGAACTCGAATGTGCTGGTAGAGTGATCAGAATTGAGTGAGCCCCCTGCACGCAGGAGGTCATTTCTCGTGCCGTCTCCACTTGACAAAGAAGCGTGGACCCTCACGTGTTGTGCATTGCCCTTCTCTGTGTACAACGGCACCCGTGGAGAGCCTCCCTGCACAGAGGTCCTGGTGGTTTCGTGTGCTTTATCTCGTCCGTCCTCACACGTTCATGTGATACGGGAGCAGATGGTGGTCTCTCCATCCCCGACTGAGGGAGGCGGGAGGCCTGGAAGTGAGGGATCACATGGCCCCGCTGGGCCCAGCCCCAGACTCTCTGACTCCAGCCTGGCCCCCACCTGGGCCACACCGCTGTGCTGTGTGCCGACTCTGAGGTCTCCTGGGCAAAAAATAAAAGAGCCTCCACAGCTCAGGGTTTAAGTGATTCGTTCTGTGATTCGATCCTGAAACAGAACACAGCCTGGTTTCATAGACAAAAAAACCCAGCGTCCCAAACCGTATCACATGAGTTAAGAGAGTGTCGTCCGTAACTGGCCGGAAAGCGAGCCCCATAGCTGAGCCCCGGCTGAGGGCCCGTGTCCTCTGTCTTCCCCAGCTCTCGTCGGCGCCTGCGGTGGGAACTACTCGGCCATGACCTCTGTCATCTACTCCCCTGACTTTCCGGACACCTACGCCACGGGGAGGGTCTGCTACTGGACCATCCGGGTGCCGGGAGCCTCCCGCATCCACTTCAGCTTCACCCTATTCGACATCAGGGACTCCGCCGACATGGTGGAGCTGCTGGACGGCTACACCCACCGGGTCCTGGTCCGCTTCAGCGGACGGAGCCGCCCCCCTCTGTCCTTCAATGTCTCTCGGGACTTCGTCATCCTGTATTTCTTCTCCGACCGCATCAACCAGGCCCAGGGGTTCGCTGTCTTATACCAAGGTAGGACTTCCTGTGCGCCCCGGGCGTCTCTTGCACGCCTCGTGACCCGTGGCCCTTGGACGGTCCTTGCCAGGTGGTCTGAGTCAGCGGCTACTGACTCAGCCTCCGGTCTCCCCCTCCTTGCACTTCATAACTCACATACATTTTACGGTACAGAAAAGAGGTAAGACCTGTCAGTTCTGCCCTGTTAGTAGCTCTGATGGGAGAGTTAAAAGAACAAGTGAAAGGAAAAGCTGAGGTTGGTAGATCTGGAAGGCTCTGAGGAGGCCCTTTGGTCCCTCCTCCTGCCTCTCAGGACCCCAGCCAACCCTGAAATCCCCCTGGGATGGAGCCCCGCGCTGCGCCCCTCCACCCTGGACACACGCGTTCCAGGCCCATCCCTTTGCCGGCACACGAGAAACACAGCGGGTGTCCGGGACGCGGTCTTCGTCCTAGATGTCAAGGGTGTCAGGAAGGGTTTGGTCAGCGTGTGCTCCTGGGGAGTCAGAGGTAGGAGGCCTCCCCGAGGAGGGAGAGTCTTGAAACACAGGCAGGATCCGGGTCAACAGATAGAGAGGAAGAAGGCCTCCAGGCCGAAGGAGCCACAGCTACAAAGGCACAGGGTAGGAAAATGGTAAAGTGTGCTCCGGTGTCTGCCAAGGGACCAGTCAAATGACTGGAAGTTGACAGATCATTCCCTCTGCCTCCTTCAGGGCCAGGGCCCGGCAGGTTCTGCTTGGGTGCCACTGGGGCCAGGGGAGAGGGTCGCACCCAGAATTAGATCAGAGGAAACAGTCTTTCTACATAGCGAGTGCCCCACCCACCCCCCCCCGGCCCCCCCAGCTCTTCATGGTCTTTCCCAGCTTTTCCCCAGTTAATTCCTTTTGCACTTCCAGCCGTCAAGGAAGAACTGCCCCAGGAGAGGCCCACTGCCAACCAGACGCTGGCCGAGGTGATCACAGAGCAGGCCAACCTCAGCGTCAGCGCTGCCCGGTCCTCCAAGGTCCTCTACGTCATCACCACCAGCCCCAGCCACCCGCCCCAGACCATCCCAGGTAGCAGTTCCCGGGCACCTTCCTGGGGGAAGCCGCAGAGCTCGAAGGCAGTTATGGAACCAGAGCACTCGGGGGTGTTTCTCATTCAAAGGCGCATCCTGGGTCCCGGCTCCGTCACTGTGTTTGTCCTGGCCTTTGACTCCTCAGTCCTTCGGGAAAGAGTGCTCACCAACACAGGGTGCCTTCCATACATTGTGACTGGTCGGCTAATCCAGTGTCTTCTCACACTGAGAGTGTCTTTCTAGAGCCACAAGTTGTAGCCCCCTAGATTCTTCGGCGACGCTAAGAGTTCTATTCATTCATTCATTAAAAAACTACGTAAGTGCTGTAATGATGCCAGGCGCTATTATAGGCACTGGACTATATATACAGTAAACAAAAAAGTCTGCCCTCCAGCGGCCTGTAAGTGGGGAGAGAAAGACAAGCAGCAAAATAAAAAGCCAGGTAGCGGTAAGAGCTCTGAAGGAAAGTCATGCAGGAGAAGGATCGGGAGTGGTGATGGTCTTGTGGTTCGAGCTGGCTAACTTAGCCCGGCACAGACTTCCATTCTCTCTTTCCTGCCAAGGACACTGGGGCCTTATTGGGCTGACAGAGCCGCAGTGCACTGTTAGCAATGACCGAGCCTAGGGATTTCCAGACTATTTTCCAGGTCCCTTGTAGGACCCTGCACAGAAGCCCAGGGATGAGAGCCTCCCCAGCGCTTGTCCTGCGTCACTGGTTAGGGCACGCCAGTGGGATGCCACAGGTCTCACGGCTCCTTCCTCAGGTGAGGAAACCGAGGCCCGCAGTTTATGTAACTCATCTGTGGCTGCATAGTAGCGACAGGATGTGCACCACCCCTTCCGGCCCTGAGTCCAGTGTGTTTTGGACCACACCACCTGCCTCTCTAAAGCCAGGTGGGGTGCTCAGAAGGCTGGGACTCCATGCCAGCCTAGCTCTAGGCTGCATTCAGTGGCTCTTCCCACCTGCAGGCAGCTTCTTACCCAGACCTTCATCTCTAAGCTGCCGGCGTTCACGGAGGGCTTCCTTCTAAAAGCTTGGGTCAAGCCGGTCTGATAAAGCCTGTCTTTCACACCTGCAGGATGGACTGTGTACGGCCTGGCAACTCTCCTCATCCTCACGGTCACAGCCATTGTAGCGAAGATACTTCTGCACGTCACGTTCAAGTGAGTACCACAGAGCTGCCTAGTCCCCGAACGGAAGGCTCAGGGCTCCTTCCCTACTGTGCTTCGTTTGTCTGGGTAACAGTGTGACATCAGAGCGTGACTCCAAAGCCCTTAGTCCTAGGGAGGGTAAGACCGTAGACATCTCCCAGTAGACTGGGAAACAAACCGGCGACCATTTGGTTCGCAGGCCTGTGCTCAATCCACTGAGCCACAGCAGCCAGGGCTTAAGGCAATTATTTAAGAAGCTTATAGAAGCTTCATCCTTCAATTCTGACCGTTTGGAAAAAAGCATTTCCCGTATTTTGCTGCTCTGGTTTAACAGTTGTTCTTCCAGGAAAAGGGCTACCGAAGTTCGTGTATTTACAGAGGGGAATCCTTTCTCTTTTTTTCTAGACGTCGACTCTTTCTTTCCTGTGGTTCCCAGCCCAGTCTCTCTCCACTTCTTTTCTTTTGTCTTCCGAGTTTTATTGAGGTGTAATCGGCATACGAGTTGTCTCCACTGCAAGGCCTCCCTGAACACGGGTGTCCAGTGAGAGCCGCTCCCCCCCCACCCCCCCGGCCCTCTCACAAGCCGTCGGCCAGACTTTCCAGTGCGTCAAATGACGGCTCCTTCACTGCCCCGGGAAAGCCGCCCGCCTGGGGCCACACTGGGACCACCCCAGGCCTCTCCGCCCTGTGCGTTACATTTTTCAGTGAAAACAATGTCATTATTGTTTCCTGAGTCCACTCACATGCCGTATACATATACTTTTTAGTCACAGTTCACACGTTCTGGAGGCCTCTCAGGCGCAGTCCTGACCGTGTGTCTCCCACGCGGCAGGGCAGCAGGAGGCTCCCTCTGGGGCCCAGCAGCTCCGGCGCACTGAGGCCCTGGCCCACGCCTGGCTCCCGTCTGACTCCGGCGTCCCGCTGCAGCTTCCCTGGGCGGGGAGCAGGACCTGCTTCAAGCAGAGTGGCTTTGCCTCTATCCCGTTTTAACTAGGTCAGCGTCTAGGTAAATGTCACCTGAAGAAAGAGTTCTTCTATATAAAAAGAAAGAACTTGAAAACTCGTAATCTCTCAGGACAGCCCTTTCCAGGTTTGAGCAGCCTCGCTGAGCATCCCGTTCCCCGGGCGCAGGCATCTCACGAGACGGCAGGTGGTGTGGGGGGCTGCGCACGAAGAACCCCTAAGTGACTTTTGTTTGGCAGATCGCATCGTGTTCCTGCTCCCGGGGACCTTCGGGATTGTCACCAAGCAGGGACGTCAGGGGAAATCTGGAGCATTTTCTACAAGCCTTCTACTTCGATTTCCATCTTTAAGAAGAAGCTCAAGGGTCAGAGTCAGCAAGACGACCGCAACCCCCTTGTGAGCGACTGAAGCGCCCCGTCCTTCCCGGGACGCGAGGCTCCCCCGAGCGCGAGGCCGCAGGGGGCCGCCTCCCCCGTGGTTTCTGCCCACGAGCCCTTCCCTGCCTCTCCGCCGCCGCCTCTCCAGGGGTGCCTGCCAGTGGACTGGGAAGGGCGCCCTGAGGCAGGGGCAGCGTGGCCTGGGTCCCTCCTGCTTCATCGGCTGCACTTCAGAGGGAGACACTCAGGGTCCCAGGTCCGGGGCCTCCTGCGTGTGTCTCTCTCTGGTCTAGGAGTAGGGGCGTCGGGACACCGGGGCTGAGAGGACGAAGACGGCTGTGTCCAGCACTGGGTTCAGGTACCTTCTAGGTGACTGTCAGGTGGTGGGTAAGTGTAGCGTACGTTCACTCTTTCTTGCTTCTTCTTCATGTTGTCCACACACAGACCACTTTCTCCTGGTCGTCGTGGTTTGCAAGAGGGCCGGGCAGAGAATTCTGAGGTTCTCTTGAGGGTTGGCCTGGGCCGGTGCTCCCGCATCCCAAAGCCCTAAAGAGGGCCCACGCTCCGTGCTGACTCTGGGGCTTTGTCCTCCAGGCACTGGGTGAAAACAGGCCTGAGGGTGAGGTCTGCTGACCCCCATTCGCGTTAAACCTGAAACCTTCCGTATCTGGGCTTCTCCCCACAGCTTGGTGGCCCACAGAGCAAGCTTGTGGAGCGGCCGCATAAAGCACCCATTGACGTATTCACACAACAGGCTTTACTGAAAGCTCGTGCAGGTGCTCAATGAGTCCTTGTTGGACTGGATTTGTCTGGCCTTGCCCCTGAACAGCCTGTGGTCCCGTGGGACCTGAGCCAGGCCCTCGTCTCCCCCGGATGCTCTAGGCTGACTCTCAGCTCAGAACAGGGAGTGTAAAGATCATGGCTGGGCATTCAGGCGGCATCGTTTGAGACAGGGTGGCCAGCAGTCCCTCCGTTAGCTGCCCCACAGCACCCCACAGCCGGTGTTCTCGGCGGCCCTCTCTGCTCCTTCCCATGGGGACAGAGTGGGGTTTGGAATGGCTTGCTGGAGAAGGAGAGGGCTCTTAACCCTGGCCCCACACTACCCTGCCCCTGGGTGGGGAGCAGAAGCACAGGGATGGCCTGCGGAGTGAGAGGGAGGGTTTGGGAACTGGAGATTTTCTGAGGACCGGCCTCCAAGTCCGGTCCTCAGAAGGAGCTCTCCAAGCTCCAGACTTGCAGCTTGAGAGCTCCAAGTGCCATGGCTCCAAATGCAGAGTCCGTGCCGTCTCCCGTTCAGAGGCCCCCAGCAGCCACAGCGGGCTGTGCCCACAGCAGCTGAGCAGAGCCACCCACGCCTCTGAAGGCCCGGCCTAAGCCTTTGTTAGAACACGACTCCCCAGAGGCACTCGGGCCCGGGGTCTTTCTGCGCCCCTGGCCTCACAGGTTCCCCCTTTGGAGCACTTTGCCTGCCTTCCCCAAGTCCCTAAGCCACTGCCCACCACGGCCCTGCTTGGGTTTTGCCACACTGGCAACCCATCTGAAACCGGCTGCTGCTAGAAAAACAGAGGGCCGTGTGGGGCTAGCCGGGAGGTGCCTGCCGGGAGAGGTGGCCACTGGCAGCCAGGAAAGACACTAGGAGCTGGCAGGCAGAGGGGCGTTCAGAGGAGGGAAAGGGTGCAGAGCGTCCGCAGGAGGGCAGGGGCACTGCCCGCCCCCGCCTCCAGTGAGGCCTAGCACAAGCGTGGATCTGCTCCGTGCTGTCTTCACGCTTTGATCTGGGCAGGGCGGTTACCCTGGAGCAGCTGTCCGCAGCCCCCGGGTCTGGAGACAGAGGTCCGCCCCATGCAAGGGCCGCTGGAAATACGCTGACATGTGCAGTCTCCGTTCCAAGCTATTCCTGGCTTTTGTGGCATCTCCTCTCAAACCCAAGTGTCAGGTGTGCGGGCACAAAGGGCCTTGTGCGGGCAGATCCACCCCCGGCACAAAGGGAATGTGGAATGTGGCGAAGGGTTCGCCCAGGCCAGAGCCGCTGTTCAGCTGCCTGGGGCTTTCTTTCTCTGATCGCTGACCTCTGGGGCCGCCCGCCTGCCCCGCTCACCTCGTGCCTCTGGTCACGAGGGCCACGCCCGTGGGTTGTCTGGGCCTGCGGCTGGATCCGCCCTCTCTCAGAGATCCGGGAAGGGCTGGGGACGCCCCAGGGCCCTCCTTCCGGCTGGTCCTGGAGCAGCCCGGAGCCACCAGGATCACTTTACTGCCCAGGGAGGGACCACACGCAACCCAAACCGGCCTCGGGACAGCGTGGGGGGAGGTCGCCATAAATGGTCCCAGGCCAAACCCCCATAAGTCCCTTGGCCACAGTCTGGCCATGGTCCTGGTTGGAACCTGTCGGCAACACCCACCGAGGGTCCTCTGCAGCTACGTAAACACCTGAGACGCACCTTGTCCCAGAAGAGGTGGGGCGTGCTTCCAGGAGCATCGAAAGAGGGAGCACTTGATCTTCTAAGAAACTACTTCAGAAAAGAGCAAGTGAGGGTTGGAGGTGATGGGAAAGGCGGCCCTGAGAAAGTTCACTGTAGATGACACAGCAGAAGGTCATGGAAGGGGGGCCTCTGGGGACCACCGAGGACGGCGGCTCTCAAAGCAGCCGGAGCAGAGCCTCTGCCCGAGGTGCAGCGTGGAGGGTGCTGCAAGCTCTCCCCTCGCTCGGGACCGCTGTGCCCTCCCCACCCTGTCCGCCACCAGCTCCCAGGCCCTGCCTTCTCCGCGTGCGGCTGCCCCGACCTGAGGGAGGGCCCCCGGGCAGCTGCTCCTATTGCCTCCCGGGGTGGTCGCACCTTTTCTTGGCCATGCTTCCCAGCAGCCGAGGCCCCTCCGGAAGGCTCGCAGAGCCCCGAGTTCTTCCCCACGAGCCAGTGCTTCCCGGGCAGAGGAGGAGTAGGGATGGACGCGGGGACCTCCCCCGCCCCGTCAGGGCAGGGTGAGGCCTCTCTGGGTGTAAGTAAGGTCACCTGGTTGCTCACTGTAGCCTCTGAAGTGTGGGCTCTGGCTCAAGACTCCAGTCGGCCAGAGACCCACCACGATCAAAGCACTAGTGAGGGCAACCGTCCTGGACCTGAGGCCGCAGCTGTGGGGAGGGGCCTCGCCCACATGCCCCACTGTCGGCCCGAGGCGGGCCGTTGCCAAGCCTCTGTGTGCCCTGGGCACTTAATCCTCACGAGCACTTAGTGGACGGCCTCCCAGATCCCGTCTGCCCTGCCCGACGAGGCCACCCCAGGTCTCCACCCCCTCTCCCCGGAGCCGGGCCGGCTCCCCACTCCACCGCCCAGTCCAGTGGCACCCTCTTGGGTTTCAAATCTCCTCTCTGGTGTTTGATGTCTGTTTTTGTTACTACCTTGGGGATTTTTAACCTTCGATTGTTTCCTCCGGTGTCCGTGTTTACCTTCCTCACTCTCTACCTCCTGGCCAGGTCTCTCAGCTCAGCTGCCCTGGCGTGGGGTGTTTCTCCGACCTTCCAGCCGCAGCTGCCTCCCCGGGCCGGCCGGCTAGGGGGTGACGGGGCCTCCCCTCCACCTGCAGACCCCAGGGCGGGGGGTGTGCTCTGCGTGGACGTCTGTCTCGCTGAGTCCAGCCTGCTCAACGAGACAGACGTGGGGTGTGGAGGAGGGTCCAGGGCGCAAGTCCGCTGCTTCGGAGAGGACGTGCCCTCAGGAGCAGAGCGGGCAGCCGCCGCCACCGGGGTCGCGCTGCACCCAGACCTGCCCGCATCCAGACTCCCCGTCCCGTGGGGACCTCGACTTGGGATGATAAGGCTTTATTTGTAAATATGCTCTTAATATGCAACTCTGAGAATAAAATAGAAACATCGTGTATTTTAAAATATGAGATGAAGTGTGACGCACTGTATACAATTTAATATATATTTTTAGGATTTTGTTATTTAAGAAAATGGAATGTAATGGTACTTAACTTTTGCAAAAGAGAGAAAAATGTTATTTTTACTGCCTGGAGAAAATAAATATTCTCATTGTTGTAGAAACGGGGCGACGGGCCCTGGCCTGTCGTGTGTTTGTGGGCGCGCTCGTGGGAGGGTGTCCGTGCTGGGAGGGTGTCTGCCTCCTCCTCGGGCGAAGGGTCACCTTCGTAACCCTGCGCCCGCGCCAGGCCCGCCAGGCCATGCGGCCTCTCCCGGGCGTCCCCGGGCCCCCTCGGGCCTCGCTGCAGCTCTGACCCACAGGTGGTCTCCCGCTGGGAAGGCCTGGCAGAGCCAGCACTCCACGTCAGCACCCCACACAGTGACAGCGGGGTGGCAGCCGGCCCGCGTCTCTGCCTCGGAGGCCTGGGTCGGGACTGGCCTTCAGTCGGTCAGCCCGCCGGTCGTCCACAGTTTCCGCTCCCTGTAAACTGTCACGGTGCCTGTGCTTCAGAAGGCAATGAGCTGAAAGGAGAAAATGGGTCTAGAACACGAACGTGATTATTATCCAACATGGACTTCGTCTTGCCTTTCAGAGCAACCCCTTCCTTCTCCCGCCCCCCTGTCCTTTGTAAGAGCAGCCATGGAAGCTCCGTGTGAGCTGCCTGCTCTGCACCCAGCACCCTCCTGTCCGGCGCTGTGGGTACCCGAACAGCCCTTCCAGCAGGTGTCGTCGCCCCCATTTCGCCAACGAGGAAACTGAGGTTCAGAGCAGAGCATCGGGGTAGAAGCGGAGAGCACAGCCCTAGAGTCAGCCGGCAGGATCCGTCCCCCACTGTTTGTTTGCTGAGAGGCCAGGGAGTGTGCAAGGAGGGTTCTGGGGGAGGAGTGACACCGGATTCCTCGTCCAGAAGGATGTCCTACTTGCATTAGGAAGAACAGATTGGGGTGGTGTAGGACCTTGGTGAGAGAAAGCTGGCTCTGCCCATATGCCCGGGGCAGGTGACTGGGACCCACCGCCTGGGCTTGGGCGTTCCCCCGGCCTTGGGCGAGTGACTCAGGCCCGGGGGCCTGCATGCTCATCTGTCAGATGGGGGCAGTGACGGTTCCTGCTGATAGAGCTGGGGTGAGCTAGTACCTAGAGGATGGTTCCCATGAATGGAGCTGTTCTCTGTTATTCCGGAGTAGAGTGGGGGTGTGAGAACAAGGAAGTATCTGAGATATCGCTCACATTTATTTCAATGTTTAATATTAGAAGTGTTTTGAAGGGTCTTTTTTTAAGAGTTTATTTATTTTTAGAGAGAGGGGAAGGGAGGGAGAAAGAGAGAGAGAGAAACATCGATGCGTGGCTGCCTCTTGCACGCCCCCCACCAGGGACCTGGCCCACAACCCAGGCATGTGCTGTGACTGGGAATCGAACCGAGGACCCCGTGATTCACACCAGCCAGAGCTGAAAGGTCTTTATGTAGAAGTTTGGCGATGTTGTTTTGTGACTAGAAATAGGCCGCAGTAACTTAACTCTTGTTTCCATCAATACCCTATGGTACAACTGGCTTCGTTACACTTCGTTTCATGTGAAGTTGCAGTTTCCAAGAACCTACCAACGATGCGAGGACTGACTGGTTCTCTGGCAGGCACATCACCAGACGAGGGGTCCGTGCCCCTCTCTCCCTCAGGCCTCTCTTCAGCTGGCCGCGGCCCGCGCGCCCGGCCACCAGCCTCCCCCCGCCACGGCTGCTGCTGGAAGGCCAGCTTCGCTTGAGTGTTTCTCTTCTCTGAGCTTTCCTTGTCTCTTTCCCAGAAGCCCTTTCCTTCCTTGAAGGAAAAGATTTTTTGACTTTTTAAAATAATTTTTAAAATATCGCATAGCAGGTTGGTATGCCGTATCGCATCAGTTTCAGGCGTGCAGTACAGCAATTCGACATGCGTGTGCCTCACCACGTGATCTCCACGCCAGGGCGGGTAGTCCTCCGTGTCTGTGCGAAGCCTCCACCGTGGTGTTAGCCCCTCTCCCCTTCACCTTTCCCCTCATTCCCCCCGTTCCCCCCGCCCTCCTCCCGCTGGCAACCCTCAGTTCCATGTTTCTGTGAGTCTGTTTTTGTTTTGTTTTGTTTTGTTTTGTTTTGTTTGTTCATTTATGTGTGATTTTTTTTTGAGATTCCACATGTAAATGAAACCGTATGGTATTTGTCTGTCTTTCTTCAACTTATTTCACTTAGCATAATACTCTCTAGGTCTGCCATGTTGTCACAAATGGCAAAGGCTTCATTCTTTTTTTGTTGGAGAGTACTAGTCTATTTTATATGTATATATAATCTCACATCTTCTTTATCCATGTATCTGCTCACGGACACCTAGGCTGCTTCCGTATCCTGGCTATCGTAAATAATTCTGCAGTGAAAATAGGAGTGCGTGTATCTTTTCAAATCAGTGTGTTTGTTTTTGGTAAATACCCAGAAGTGGAATTGCTGGTCATGTGATAGATTTATTTTTTAGTTTTTGGTTTGTTTATTTTTTTCCAAGAATCTCCATGCTGTTTTCCACAGTGACCACACCAAACCCAGCCTCACTGGCAGTGCCCACGGGTTCCCTTCTCTCCACATTCTTGCCAGCATGTGACGTTCTGGTGACAGTCGTTCCGACAGGTGTGCAGCGACACCTTGTTGTGGCTTTGACTTGCATTTCCCTGGTGACCAGCGCCATGGAGCATCTTTCCATATGTCTCTTGGCCATTGCGTGTCCTCCTTGGAGAAATGTCTCTGCATGTCCTCCACCCATTTTTTTATTGGATTGTTTATACTTTTGTTAATGAGTGGTATGCGTTCCTTACTATTTTGGCTATCAGCCCCTTATCAAAGCTGTCATTTGCAAATATATGCCGAGGGAAAATATTTTTAATGGCTGGTGGAGAACAAATGGGGGCAACCTCACTGGTGAATTTCTTAGAGACAGATTAGCCTGTGGCAGAAAAATAAATAAATGAAACTGTCCTGCCTAAAGCAGGACCGGGAAGAGGCTGCCAGCCCCATCTGGGTGGACTTGGGGGGGCACCGCTGACCTCGACCTCATCTTCTCTTTTTCCCAAACCTGGGCAGCGCGGTCACTGTAAAGCCCTCCCGCCAGGGAGCCAGCACCAGGCCAGCGGCAGCCTCATCCTTTGTCAGGCAATCAAAGGCTCTTCTTCCCGAGGATCCCGTGGAGATGAAAAGGGCTGGGCCTTGTCGCCAAGCTTGGAAATCACATGAGCATCTCCTCGCCCCACTGGGCCCTGTGCGCCTGAAACTGCAGACAGTCTCTGGGACTCCGAGAACTGGGGGCTTTTGTTCCGCCACGACAGGCCGGGTCCCTGTGGGGGATCGTTTTCTGCTTGGCTGAAAGGGGCCCTTGGGGGATAGGATGTTTCAACCTCAAGAAGCAGCAACATTTGCTTGTAGCTGGAAGTCTTTGCTTCTGGTCTCCAGCTGTCGTCTGCAGCCACCAGGCCCCTGCCGAATGGGACTCCACCCGGCAACCGGGGGCAGCAGCAGCACCAGGCGGGGCTGGCCGTGGGCCAGTCGGTCGAGGGGGCCCATCTCCAGGACAGCCTGGCGGCAAGGACGCCCTCGGCCCTCCTGCCGGTGGGCACTGGGCTCTGGAATGAACCTGCTTGCTGAGGATGACTGGGCCGGCGAGCCAGGCTCCACAGAGCAGCATTTCAGGAGGAAAACAGATCCAAGCTTAAAGTCCAGGCTAACCCCTTGGAGGGGAGTGGGGACAGAATAGTCTGAAACAGCCAAGGCTTTTTTGCAACAGAGAAGTTTCAGATTTCACTTATTTTACTCTTAGAACGTTTACCATTGTCCCTGTTCAAATGAGGCCACTGAGCTTTTAAAAACTTAATGGGGGGCGGGAGGGGGCACTGGTATTTTGCACACTGACCATGTCAGCATGTTTAAGGGACTTGCCTGAGTTGCCAGTACCACAGATGAATCGGATCAAGAGCCCTTGAGGGGTATGCAAACCTCACATTTAATCGAGTCTGGTGCAGCTTTTTAGGGGCCCCGGGGTGAACTGAGCAAAGAGGTTTTGAACGTGCAAGAATGATGATGATGATGATGGTGATAACGGCAGCTAACACTTGGGCAACACTTGTGTGTCTGAGACACCGCACTGAGCACTCAACAGACGTCACTGGATTCAGCCCGTGACGACCCAGCCTGGGAGCGGAGGAGGCTGGGCGAAGGGGCCCAGCCCATGGAAGGCAAGGGCAGGGGCCAGTCTGCTTCAGAGCCAGGGCTCCTCACTCCTGTGGCACCTCAGGCCCCTCGGGGCGGGCAGGTGAGCTCTGAGGGGCCCCCAAAGCCCCCAGGCATCTCACCCTCACAAGTGTGGCCTCCAGTCAGCCCAGGAAAAGTATAGATCAGTTTGGGGCAAAGACTGTGTCGAACCTACACTTCTTATTTGAAAACAAACGCCTTTGAGCGTCCGATGAATGTTATCACGCCCCTCCCTCAAAAAGATCCCACCTACGAAAATCTGCATAGAAATTCTGCAGATTTAAAAACCTAAAACCTGGGCTGCGAACCAAAGCATTGCAGGTTTGATTCCCAGTCAGGGCACATGCCTGGGTTGCAGGCCACGGCCCCCAGCAACCACACATTGATGTTTCTCTCTCTCTTTCTCCCTCCTTTCCCACTCTAAAAATAAATAAAATCTTTAAAAAAAAACAAACCTAAAACCTTCCCATAGACTTCAGGTTTAGAATCTCTTCATTAAGTATCTGTACCTACAAGTTAAAACTAGACCCAAAGAGGACAACAATAACAGTATGAATATAATAATACATTTAACTGATCACTTACTAAGTGTCAGACACTTACTACAGGAGTTAAGTTTTTTCTGCAAAGGGCTAAGTAGTAACTATTTTACCCTTTGTGAACTATACAGCCCCTGATCTCAGTCACAACTACTCAACTCCGCCCACCCTGGTTGTTGGGGGCCAACCACTAGAACCCGTGCAGTCCACTGGGACCCTCCAGGACCCCACCCCCGCAGGCCCGGAGCCCGCCAGGAAACCCCCAGAGGGTTAGGGACTGGCATCTGGAGGGGGCATCAGGCTCACAGGTAAGCAGCCAGAAAATACCTGA